AAACTAACTTATTTAAATTAATGCAAGTTTTGAGGATTTTTTAAAATTTTCTGTTGGCCTCCATTCCTGTTTTTACAAGCAGAAGGAAACATTGGCCTCAATTTAGGGATAAGATATGATATAGTGCCTTGCTAGATATCTCTCTCCTATTTTCTAGAACAACCTGTCCATTAGAAAATTCTCGGTAATTTAAGCTTTTATTCTTTCTTAGCAAAGAAAGGATTGGCTTGCTTTGACCCAACAGTGAAGAGAAGTCCCCTAAATCTACTGAGGACAACCTTGAAAGGTGCAGTAAGATTCTTGCTTTTTTTCTTGCTCGCATTTCTTATCATGTTAACCTTGTTTTTAAATGATCTAGACTTGGTCCCACTTTGACTTTCTGATTTTAAATTGACAGGATGTAGACCAGCAGAGCCAAGAAGAAGCAACAGGATATAAAACCATCTAGCAGCAGCCAAGCAGTCTCTAATAGGTATCATCTTGTCATTTTTTTTCCCATTGTTTTGGTACTGTACTAATCCTGTGTCAGAATCAATCATTACCAAGGGCACAAGGAGGGATGGCCAGATAGCTGGGAAGATCACAATGGAGAGGAGACTATTGCCAGGATATAGGGTATCCACTATGTCAACAGGCCAAGATTGGCCAAAGTGGTAAGAAACAAGCTATATTTGTTGCATTTTGGATTTCTGTTGATCCAAATAAGGGACTTATTTGACTCATTGAATCTCTATGTTAACAGATTAATGGTTTAACAAGCCTTGATCCCTACAAAAAAGACTCAATTATTTGTCACAATGAGTCCAAGAAGCAAGGATCAACTGCAGCCAACCTTAGAATAAAGGGTAAGATACAAACGCTAACTCTTTTTCCTTGTACAGACTCCATTTATTGTTCTTTTTCATATATGATGTAGATTTGGACCTCTTTTGATTATAAATTTGTATTTTGCAGAAGCATAGAGAGACAGTACCTATCTTAAGATAAAGCAGAGTGCATCACTTGCTAGCAAGAGCACACAGAGCTGAAATTGATTGATCTGTTAACACTCAGGTGACTGTAAGACAAAAACTGTACTTCTTTCTCTATTTCAGTTTCAACACTCTCTCTCATCACTTGATTAAAATTAGATTACTTAACTACATTCTATTTTTAACAGACGGAGGGTAAGGCAACCCTAGATTCTATGTTCAAGAGCAGAGTAGTGATTGACTGCAGTGTTCCTTAGAGTGGAGGTAAGACACATTCTCTACTCCATTCAGTCCGATAGATTTCATACTTTCATTTGATGAAATCCAATAACTTTTGTTTCGTTGACCACTTCATATCTTGTGTAAACAGGAAGAAGGTTAGACTTGCCTGTCAGTAAGGCTAGAACTAGAGAACAAGATTAAGGACAGACTGTGGTTTTACCTAGAAGGGAAGGTAAGATGCAAATTCTTTGTTGACTCTTCGAAAGTTTTTCTCTTTGCCATTTGATTAAATCTTAGTACTAGTGTTGTCCATGAGCACCTGGCCCCAGGATCATGAAACATCTTAAGCTTAATTAGGTCAAAATTTATATGTTGTACTAAAATGTTGTAGAAGTCAAGTAGTCCAAAATTCAAATATTTTTCAATATTGATTTGCAAAAGTGTTGTTATCTGTAAATTTAGAGATTAATTTAGTCATCAATAAAAATTTCACAGGCGACTGAAAATTTCACTTAAGTCTAAGTCTGTTTCATGATCCTGGGGAGTGGAGTTCATAACATAAAGCTCGTGTGGAAAAACTGGAAAACTATTGCCCTTGACCCTCAGCCTCAGTCATCAGTTTCTGAGGTCTTTCCCACTACTTTGGGACAACAGTTTTACAGTTTCCCTAGTAGTCATAGAAATACCGTAATTTTTGGGGTATATGTCGATGTGGTATATAGGTCGAAAGGCTCATTTTCAGCCGTAATTTTTAAAAATCCTTAGATAGGACGATTCGGAAGATAGGACGAGGCTTTGTTTATCGATTTTCTATAGAGACTCTCGTAGATACTACGTATCAGAACATGTAAAACTCTTTAACTTAACCCGTGATATTAACGTACTGAGAAAATAAACTGATATTTTTTTTTGAGTAGAGCATTTTAATAGTGTTTTATACAAACATAGTTAAAACTTCCTTGAATTGTGATATAACGTATTTTCTCCAACTTGCCTGTTCAGTGCCACCGTAGTTTGACTCTGTCATTAAACACATATTAAATACGGTACTATACAACAGCTATAAATAGGAAAATACCCGAAATCAAACAATAATCATTTCCATTTTAGAACATCGTGGACACATTCTTTTATTCCGACATTATTTACCAGGGTACAATATTAACTTCGATGACCGCCATTTTTATATTTCTTGTCCAGGGATTTGCAAAAACATGCAATTGACTATTACATGTAACAGTGAGCAATTGAAATTAATCATATTAACATGCTATAATTTGCTTGAGATATTGTTGTAAAAAATAAATATAATTGAGAGTACATTCGCAATTTAACAGTCATCAGGAATTTCACAGTTTTGTTTGTTCAGTGATGTATAGCACTAATACCCCCTGTAACGGCACGTGGATTTGTTAATCATGCCCCGCAGGTGTTTAAAGCAACACAGGTGTTAACACCTTTGTGTACACAGTGTATATCCCTTTATCTGTCACACAATTAAAATTCTATTAGAAGCCAATCTTTGTATAATTCTGTGTATCCCTTAGGATATAAAACAAAATAGTTATGAGTAGCGGTAGATTTGGTAAATAATTTTAGGAATTAACTGGCAACAATTTATTTCGCGCATTTTACATTTAAATAAATATCACAAAACAATGAAAAAATATTTAGGTATACTATTTCAATTAATTGGTACAAATAAATGGTAAAAAGAAAAAATTAAAATTGCGATTGTGAAAACTCTTCCATATTTTAAACTTTGATATGGTTGCAGTTTTATTTTTAGTAAACGATTGCGACTTCCAACTTCACAAGATGGACACAGCATGTTGTAAATGGATACTTTGAGACATTATTTACTAGATGATATAAGTTTTTGTGTACATCAACGGATATTTAATGGAACTTATTTTGTAAGAAATCAATGGAATAAATATTTAATTCTTTATTGTTTATTATTTTTTTCTCGGTAAAGTAATTTTAAAAAATACGAAAATAGCACAGATCTGCTTTAAAATTGACTAAATTTTACTGATTTGGGGACATTTTTCATAAACTTGAGTCTTAGATAGGTCGATTCGTTAAATAGGACGACCCCAGTGGTTCTGAGAAAAAAAGTATCGTCCTATCTTCCAAAACTTACGGTAAGTGTGTAATACAGCTTACTGTAAAAAAATATTTTTAAAAAAAAGAATAAAAAATGTCATGAATAATAATTGGTTTACAGTATTTTTTCTTTTATAATTGGTACTGATGAATTGTACCATTCCCAAAGCCAAAAAAGTTAATTTTATTCCAATTTTGAGACTAAATAATCCCATTTTAACTGCCAAGGAACAGACTATGATGATGTAATTATTTTCATATAAAATGTATAAGTTTACATAATGTTGTATGTGTTAATATATAATTAGGCTAGAATAAACACAAAATAAATTTCATTTGTCGTGGGTTTAACATTTAATAGCACATTGAACATTTTAGTTTAGAAATTAGATTTATTTGGTAACAGTTATTGAAACATTTTGCAAATGTAGTTTAGACAGAATGGAGCCAATGGTACCCAGGAAGCCCGAGAAAAGGTTGTATTTTGATCTTGTAAGCCCAAAATAAGGTGAGCTGTATTTTTGTTTTTGCATGTATTTTGGTTTCCCATCCTCTCTCCTTCCCTTTCTTACTTACATTACTAACATAACTAACCTTTTTGCCCTTTTCATTTATAATTGTTTGTGTCTTTCCCAAATATGTAATTGTCACGTTTTTTGTTTGTGAATGATGCATTAAAAGACTTCTTTTATTAAATAGTTTTAGTACTGTAATAATTTTTGTGTCAGTTTCTATCATTGTCAAGGGCACAAGGACGGATGGACAGATGGCAAGGGAGACCACAATGAAGAGGAGACCATTGCCAGGATACAGGGTATCCACAATTATAACCAGCCAACATTGGCAAAAGTGGTAAGAAACGGGCAGCATTTGTTGCATTTTAGATTTAGATTTTCTATTTTCACTTTATTCAAGCCTGGTACTGGTACTTATTTGACTCTTGACTCTGTATGTTAACAGAATAATAGTTAACCTCAATCCCACTATAGAGGAATGACAACATAAGGCTTGTGAGGAGGATTCCAGGGAGTTGGGATCAATTGAAGCCAACCATCGAATAAAGGGTAAGTTACAAATCACTGATTCCATTTCTTTTGCTCATCTTAACAGTTGTAAACTGAACTCTCTTTGATCTGGAATCTCAGGATCCAACCAACTAAAATACCAAGAGCGTAAATAAACTGCGTCCAACCTTTCAGATGACGACAGGTAAAGACAGATGCAAAATTGTGGGTGACCATACAATGACAAGGAGACCAATACCAGGATACAGGGTATCCACTACGTCAACAAGTCCACTATATAAGCAACAGGCCAACATTGGCCAAAGTGGTAGGAAACAAGAACATTTGTTGCATTTTGTATTTCTCTTTTCTATTTTCACTTTATTCAAGCCTGGTGATGGTTTTAGTACTAGTTTGACCTCTTGACTCTTTATGTTACAGAATAATAGTTAGCCTCAATCCCACTACAAAGAATGACAACAGCACTTGTGAAGAGGAGCCCAGGGATTAAAGATCAACTGATCCAATACCATCAAAGTCAGGATAAGAAAAAATAACTCATCTGTTTCCAATTCATGTGCTCATCTTAACTTCTGTAGACTAAGCCTCCTTTGATCTGAAATATCAGTGTATCATACCAAGTAATGTACTAAGAGCAATAAATAAACTGCATCCAACCATGCAGGTGACAAGGATGGACAGATGCCAAATTGAGGATGATGGCATAATGGAGGACATCACAAGGAAGAGGAGGACATCACAAGGAAGAGGAGGGAATCGCAAGGAAGAGGAGGACATCACAAGGAAGAGGAGGAACACACGAGGAAGACATCACAAGGAAGAGGAGGAACACACAAGGAAGAGGAGGACATCACAAGGAAGTGGAGAAACACACATAGAAGAGGAGACCATTGCTAGGATACAGTGTATCCACTACGTTGGCCAAATTGGTTGGAAACAAGCTTCATATGTTAAATTTTTGGATTGCTATGTTTTATTCTTAGTAAACCTAATTAGGACACACATTAGACCTCTTGACCCTTCATGTTTACAGATTAATGGTTAAACAAGCTTCAATCTTGTGGCAGAGAACACATATCACTCTTTAGGAGTCCAGAGAACGGGAACAGAGATCCGCTGCAACCAGCCATGGAAGAAAGGGTAAGTTACAAATCAAATGTGCTAAATCCATTGTGCAATTTACACATGATAATGATTGGGGTCTCTTGTGATGTAAAATTTTTGTCTTTAAGAAACAGGACAACCAGACCCTTCCACTGTCAAAGGTCAGGAAGATTACATCACCTGCCAGCAAGAGTACCAAGAGCTGGACACAAGACGAACACACAGTGAGGAGAAGTACATTGCCAGGGTACCAGATATCCATTATGCCAGCAGCCATTTATTAGTCAAAGTGGTAAGAAACAAGCTGCATTTGTTGCACCATTAGATTTCTGTTTTCTACACATATAACACATATTTGACTCTAAACTCTTTATGTTCACAGAATAATGCTTTGGCAAATGATCACACTGAAGAGAGCAAATCAATCACTTGTTAGGATAAGTCCAGGGAGCAGGAATCAACAGCAGCCAACCATGGAAGAAAGGGTAAGCCGATTATATTATACATGACATTCTTTAATCATGAATTGACAATAAAAACTGGTAAATTCAAAGGTACATCTTCACATGTTTTGGTACTGAACTAATCTTGTTCATATTCTGTCATTGCTAAGGGCACAGTGGAGGTATGGAGCCAGCACCACTTTCAGGAAGAGAAGAGCATTGCCAGAATATGGGGTATCCAGTATGTAAGCAACAGGCCAACATTGTCCAAAGTGGTAGGAAACAAGAACATTTGTTGCATTTTGTATTTCTCTTTTCTATTTTCACTTTATTCGAGCTTTGTGATGGTTTTAGTACTAGTTTGACCTCTTGACTCTTTATGTTAACAGAATAATAGTTAGCCTCAATCCCACTACAAAGAATGACAACAGCACTTGTGAAGAGAAGCCCAGGGATTAAAGATAAACTTATCCAATACAATCAAAGTCAGGGTAAGAAGAAATAACTCATCCGATTGCAATTCATGTGCTCATCTTAACTTATGTAGACTAAGCCTCCTTTGATCTGAAATATCAGTGTATCATACCAAGTAATGTACTAAGAGCTTAAATAAACTGCATCCAACCATGCAGGTGACAACAAGGATCGACAGATGCCAAATTGAGGATGATGGCATAATGAAGAATAGAACCATATAAGGAAGATGAGGATCACCCAAGGAAGAAGAGGACATCACAAGGAAGAAGAGGACATCACAAGGAAGAGGAGGAACACACAAGGAAGAGGAAGACATCACAAGGAAGAGGAGGACATCACAAGGAAGAGGAGGAACACACATTGAAGAGGAGGACATCACAAGGAAGAGGAGGAACACACATAGAAGAGGAGGCCATTGCTAGGATACAAGGTATCCACTACGTTGGCCAAATTGGTAGGAAACAAGCTTCATATGTTGCATTTTTTGGATTGCTATGTTTTATTCTTAGTAAACCTAATTAGGACACACATTAGACCTCTTGACCCTTCATGTTAACAGATTAATGGTTAAACAAGCTTCAATCTTGTGGCAGAGAACACATATCACTCTTTAGGAGTCCAGAGAACGGGAACAGAGATCCGCTGAAACCAGCCATGGAAGAAAGGGTAAGTTACAAATCAAATGTGCTAAATCCATTGTGCAATTTCACACATGATAATGATTGGGGTCTCTTGTGATGTAAAATTTTTGTCTTTAAGAAACAGGACAACCAGACCCTTCCACTGTCAAAGGTCTGGAAGATTACATCACCTGCCAGCAAGAGTACCAAGAGCTGGACACAAGATGAACACACAGTGAAGAAGAGTACATTGTCAGGGTACAGGATCTCCATTATGCCAGCAGCCATTTATTAGTCAAAGTGGTAAGAAACAAGCTGCATTTGTTGCACCATTAGATTTCTGTTTTCTACACATATAACACATATTTGACTCTAAACTCTTTATGTTCACAGAATAATGCTTTGGCAAATGATCACACTGAAGAGAGCAAATCAATCACTTGTTAGGATAAGTCCAGGGAGCAGGAATCAACAGCAGCCAACCATGGAAGAAAGGGTAAGCCAATTATATTATATATGACATTCTTTAATCATGAATTGACAATAAAAACTGGTAAATTCAGAGGTACATCTTCACATGTTTTGGTACTGAACTAATCTTGTTCATATTCTGTCATTGCTAAGGGCACAGTGGAGGTATGGAGCCAGCACCACTTTCAGGAAGAGAAGAGCATTGCCAGAATATGGGGTATCCACTATGTAAGCAACAGGCCAACATTGTCCAAAGTGGTAGGAAACAAGAACATTTGTTGCATTTTGCATTTCTCTTTTCTATTTTCACTTTATTCAAGCCTGGTGATGGTTTTAGTACTAGTTTGACCTCTTGACTCTTTATGTTAACAGAATAATAGTTAGCCTCAATCCCACTACAAAGAATGACAACAGCACTTGTGAAGAGGAGCCCAGGGATTAAAGATCAACTGATCCAATACCATCAAAGTCAGGATAAGAAAAAATAACTCATCTGTTTCCAATTCATGTGCTCATCTTAACTTCTGTAGACTAAGCCTCCTTTGATCTGAAATATCAGTGTATCATACCAAGTAATGTACTAAGAGCAATAAATAAACTGCATCCAACCATGCAGGTGACAAGGATGGACAGATGCCAAATTGAGGATGATGGCATAATGGAGGACATCACAAGGAAGAGGAGGACATCACAAGGAAGAGGAGGGAATCACAAGGAAGAGGAGGACATCACAAGGAAGAGGAGGAACACACGAGGAAGACATCACAAGGAAGAGGAGGAACACACAAGGAAGAGGAGGACATCACAAGGAAGTGGAGAAACACACATAGAAGAGGAGACCATTGCTAGGATACAGGGTATCCACTACGTTGGCCAAATTGGTTGGAAACAAGCTTCATATGTTGCATTTTTGGATTGCTATGTTTTATTCTTAGTAAACCTAATTAGGACACACATTAGACCTCTTGACCCTTCATGTTAACAGATTAATGGTTAAACAAGCTTCAATCTTGTGGCAGAGAACACATATCACTCTTTAGGAGTCCAGAGAACGGGAACAGAGATCCGCTGAAACCAGCCATGGAAGAAAGGGTAAGTTACAAATCAAATGTGCTAAATCCATTGTGCAATTTCACACATGATAATGATTGGGGTGTCTTGTGATGTAAAATTTTTCTTTAAGAAACAGGACAACCAGACCCTTACACTGTCAAAGGTCAGGAAGATTACATCACCTGCCAGCAAGAGAACCAAGAGCTGGACAGAAGATGAACACACAGTAAAGAGGAGTACATTGCCAGGGTACAGGGTCTCCATTATGCCAGCAGCCATTTATTAGTCAAAGTGGTAAGAAACACATATAACACATATTTGACTCTAAACTCTTTATGTTCACAGAATAATGCTTGGCAAATGATCACACTGAAGAGAGCAAATCAATCACTTGTTAGGATAAGTCCAGGGAGCAGGAATCAACAGCAGCCAACCATGGAAGAAAGGGTAAGCCGATTATATTATACATGACATTCTTTAATCATGAATTGACAAAAAAACTGGTAAATTCAGAGGTACATCTTCACATGTTTTAGTACTGAAGTAATCTTGTTCATATTCTGTCATTGCTTAAGGCACAGTGGAGGTATGGAGCCAGCACCACTTTCAGGAAGAGAAGAGCATTGCCAGAATATGGGGTATCACTATGTAAGCAACAGGCCAACATTGTCCAAAGTGGTAGAAATCAAGAACATTTGTTGCATTTTGCATTTCTCTTTTCTATTTTCACTTTATTCGAGCTTTGTGATGGTTTTAGTACTAGTTTGACCTCTTGACTCTTTATGTTAACAGAATAATAGTTAGCCTCAATCCCACTACAAAGAATGACAACAGCACTTGTGAAGAGGAGCCCAGGGATTAAAGATCAACTGAATCCTAAAGCATTAAAGTCAGGGTAAAAAAGAAATAACTCATCTGATTCCAATTCATGTGCTCATCTTAACTTATATAGACTAAGCCTCCTTTGATCTGAAATATCAGTGTATCATACCAAATAATGTACTAAAAGCAATAAATAAACTGCATCCAACCATGCAGGTGACAACAAGGATGGACAGATGCCAAACTGAGGATAATGGCATAATGAAGAATAGGACAATACAATGAAGATGAGGATCACACAAGGAAGAGGAGGACATCACAAGGAAGAGGAGAACCACACATTGAAGAAGAGGACATCACAAGGAAGAGGAGGACCACACAAGGAAGAGGAGGACATCACAAGGAAGAGGAGGAACACACATAGAAGAGGAGGCCATTGCTAGGATACAAGGTATCCACTACGTTGGCCAAATTGGTAGGAAACAAGCTTCATATGTTGCATTTTTTGGATTGCTATGTTTTATTCTTAGTAAACCTAATTAGGACACACATTAGACCTCTTGACCCTTCATGTTAACAGATTAATGGTTAAACAAGCTTCAATCTTGTGGCAGAGAACACATATCACTCTTTAGGAGTCCAGAGAACGGGAACAGAGATCCACTGCAACCAGCCATGGAAGAAAGGGTAAGTTACAAATCAAATGTGCTAAATCCATTGTGCAATTTCACACATGATAATGATTGGGGTGTCTTGTGATGTAAAATTTTTGTCTTTAAGAAACAGGACAACCAGACCCTTACATTGTCAAAGGTCTGGAAAATTACATCACCTGTCAGCAAAAGTACCAAGAGCTGTACACAAGATGAACACACAGTAAAGAGGAGTACATTGCCAGGGTACAGGGTCTCCATTATGCCAGCAGCCATTTCTTAGTCAAAGTGGTAAGAAACAAGCTGCATTTGTTGCACCATTAGATTTCTGTTTTCTACACATATAACACATATTTGACTCTAAACTCTTTATGTTCACAGAATAATGCTTTTGCAAATGATCACACTGAAGAGAGCAAATCAATCACTTGTTAGGATAAGTCCAGGGAGCAGGAATCAACAGCAGCCAACCATGGAAGAAAGGGTAAGCCAATTATATTATATATGACATTCTTTAATCATGAATTGACAATAAAAACTGGTAAATTCAGAGGTACATCTTCACATGTTTTAGTACTGAACTAATCTTGTTCATATTCTGTCATTGCTTAAGGCACAGTGGAGGTATGGAGCCAGCACCATTTTCAGGAAGAGAAGAGCAATCCCAGAATATGAGGTATCCACTATATAAGTGTAAACGTTGATTTTAATAACAACGAAGGAAGTTTGGGTTCAATTAATAAATTGTATATTCCATCATATGTACAGGTCATGTCATGTGTAGTTCTGTAAATAAAATATTTAATAAATAATTCACAGACAAACAAACATACACAAACATCACACAAAACACTGAATTTTCTGGCTAAGGGAAATAACTCCATTTTCCTCATAACTTTAAGGATCATAAAATAATCATTTCAGGCATTATATTATGCAACTTCATTATCATAAAATAATTTCCTTTTAACTATAAACATTTCCATTCATAGTATCCAAATGAAATTCTATTTACAACACAAATAGACATCACAATATACACAGACTTCACTAAACACAGATCTTTCCAAATATATGTTATATGAACCTGATCTTTCCTGATCCTTTAAATTCTCAGTCAGTCATAGCTATAATAAATTATCACAAAGTAAGTCTGACTGATTATTGGCAAAATATATTTAAAACTCATAAAAAATCTCACTCACATAACTTTCACACATCATGCTCATAATTAATAATGTTAAAATGTTAATGAACTGACCTGTTTAGTATATTGTCCATAAGTCCATAGGTCTGGTGTAGAAATTGTCAGTAAATTAATTAGGAATTTTGGAGTCAGTAAAAATACACTGCTCACTAGTCTACTAAGGATCTTTTTTGAATGTCTAAAAAATTACTACAATAGTGAGCTTCTCACCAGAGTAGCCAATCAAATACCTGGGTTCACCCATGAATGAATAGCATGCTTGACTTAATGGGAATCACTATGGAAAAGCCTTAGTGTAATAAATATATACAAACGCTCTAACTTGATACTATTTAAAGTATGGAAATACATTATGGACAAAATTAAAACAATAAGTCAATGCTGTATTTTCATTAGATAATATCTTTATTGATAAAAAACACGCGGTCACATAAGCAACAGGCCAACATTGTCCAAAGTGGTAGGAAACAAGATCATTTGTTGCATTTTGCATTTCTCTTTTCTATTTTCACTTTATTCAAACTTTATGGTGGTTTTAGTACTAGTTTGACGTCTTAACTCTTTATGTTAACAGACTAATAGTTAGCCTCAATCCCACTACAAAGAATGACAACCCCACTTGTGAAGAGGATCCCAGGGATTAAAGATCAACTGAATCCCAAACCATCAAAGTCAGGGTAAGAAGAAAATAACACATCGGATTCCAATTCATGTGCTCATCTTAACTTATGTAGACTAAGCCTCCTTTGATCTGAAATATCAGTATCATACCAAGTAATCTACCAAGAGCTTAAATTAACTGCATCCAACTATGCAGGTGACAACAAGGATGGACAGATGCCAAATTGAGGATGATGGCACAATGAAGAAGAGGACCATACAATGGAGATTACTATGCAAGGAAGAGGACATCACAAGGAAGAGGAGGACATCACAAGGAAGAGGAGAACCACACAAGGATGCACATTAGACCTCTTGACTCTTTATGTTTACAGATTAATGGTTAAACAAGTTTCAATCTTGTGGCAGAAAATACATATCACTCTTTAGGAGTCTAGGGAACAGGAACAGAGATCCATTGCAGCCAGCCATGGAAGAAAGGGTAAGTTACAAATCAAATGTGCTAAATCCATTGCTTGTGCTCTTTTACACATGATAATGATTGGGGTCTCTTTTGATGTAAAAATTTTTGTCTTTAAGAAACAGGACAACCAGACCCTTACACTGTCAAAGGTCTGGAAAATTACATCACCTGCCAGCAGCAAGAGTATCTACCAAGAGTTGGTCAACAGTTGAACACACGATGAGGAGGAGTTCATTGCCAGGGTATAGGATCTCCAATATGCCAGCAGCCATTTATTAGTCAAAAGTGGTGAGAAACAAGCTGCATTTGTTGCACTATTAGATTTCTGTTTCCTATTTTCTATCTAATTTGAACACATATTTGATTCTAAACTCTCTGTGTTCACAGAATAATGCTTTGGCAGGCCTTGATTGCAATCTCCCACTGTCTGGTTCAGGAAGAGTTAATCACCAGCCAAAGTAATACTGACAGCCAGAATTGTCCTGGGCCTGCAGGAGATGGTAAGAAGTATGATCCACTCCTTGTGTTCTGTCAATTTATGTCCCTTTTTCTCACTTGTTGAACTCTTTGTACCTTTATTTATTGATCTGTACATACATGTACTCTGTTTACAAACAGGGTACAAGGCTGATCATATGTTAAAAAGTAATTCCTCATGCTGATGGAAAAGTTTGAAGAATACTCATTGATTGCACCCTACTGTAGAAGTGAGGGTAATGTACAAGCTTTACTCAATTCACTCTGAAAGATTCCATAACTTTCTCGAAGTACTTTTGTTCCATTAATCTCTTTATATTCTGTGATAACAGGGAGTTAGGCTAGTCTGGATCTAGTGTTCAAGAGCATTCATGTTTCAACTGGAGTTAGTGACCAAAAAAGTGATGAACCTTTGCCTAACGTAGAAGTAAGACTTGACACATATTTTTTCTTTTCTCTGTTTGAAATTTTATTTTTCTTTGCCATTAGATAAAGTGTTAAAATTCTTTTGTTATTGACTTTCCTTTGTTCTTTGATAACAGAGAGTTGGACTGGCCTTCTACACCAGTCTTAGAAGAACCTGTAGGACAGAAGAATCCAGATTGTGGCTTGACCAGAACACCAAAAGGCAGGATACAGTTTTTACTCCATACTCAAACTTTCTCAGTAGGTCACGAGTCCGTACACAAACTTTCTCAGTAGGTCACCTCATGCTCAAACTTTCTCAGTAGGTCACCCAAGTCCATACACAAACATTCTCAGTATGTCACCTGAGTCTCAATGAATTAAGCACAGGATTTGACAACACATTCATATCACAGAATTCCTACATTTCTTTATAAGACTACAAGTTTTCATGCTTTAAGATGAATTTGATCATTGTGTTTTTTTTCCCTTGTACAAATGCCAAAAATGCCATTGAATTTTTTCAAAATTTCTGAGAACAGAAATTTTCATTTAAACTTCTAAATAAATACTTGTATTGACAATGTAATTCACTAAGTATGAAACATACAAATTTTTAAAAACTTTGGATTCCTGGAAGTAGACTAGTTTTTTAGTGAGACATGTTGTAAACAGCATACTGCAGAATCATTAGATTTCATGGTGGCTCAATATATGTGAAATTAGGAGTGACCCTCATCAACAAATTTTTATCCTCCATGAATTGAAAAAAAGGGATTTCAGAGTCATCTTTTCTTTTGTAAATATGAGAGAATATATGAAATTACATCCCCATGAACCTGAAAAATTAAAACAATCCATGAAAGTTGGCCCGTATGACTTTGAATGATTCTACAGCATATTGTAAGTGTCTGACATTTTGAAAAACATGAAATCAAGAGATATTTAAACAATCAAATAGTTTCTTTGATTACCAGAATAGTGCAGGGTTATTTTCACCCCATGTTTTTTTTTGCCCTTTAAAACTAACAAACTATTTTGCCCCGTTTAAAATTCGCCCAGCCACAGTTCTGTTTAAGAAATCATACTGTCTTCTTGAATTTGCCCTGTCTTAAATTTGTCCACTTGTGAATGGAGCGAACGGAGCGAATAAAACGGAGGCAGATATTTTTCTGTATAAAGTATATTAGTTTTAGGTTTTGTTATTGATAAACATACATGGAATTTGATTTAAGACTATTTTAATCCTATTATAATTTCGGGGTGATAGAAAATTCTCAATATAATATACATATTTTGCTGCTATTTCTCCGAATTGAATCACTGTCGTTACCATTCCTAATTGATTCGTTAGTGATTATGATTGGTTGTTTTAAACAGGAGGAAGAGAGGAATTCCAGACTGACAGGACTCTGAAGGAAGAACAACGGTGAAGGGATGGACTTTGTGAAAAACTTCGACATTTGGACATTATACATCTCGAACTTATGTAATATATATTTGTGTGTCTGAGTGTGTTATGTGTGTGTGTATGAGTTTATAAGGTCCATTGTAAGTTTTGCTTTTGGTAAGCCTTGTAATGGTGTGATATAACCCTT